AATCCCTCTTCAGCTTAGAGCTCACTGAACAGAGAATTATCATCTCACTAACCAGAGACATTTTAACTGCATTCAAATTGCATCCACCAAAATCCAGTTTTGGTGACTAAGAGCATTTAAAAAAAAAAAAAAATTCCAACTTTTCTCTGCTGCAACCCATTCCTGACTCAAAACACTAATCCCCTTTGTGCCTTTCCTCCAGAGCCAGTCCCAACCTGCAGCCCCTTCCGTCTGGCAAGAAACATCTCCAAGCTTCACTTAAAAAGCAGCATAAAGCCCCATGAGAGCACACTGGAAAGGAGAAGCTTTTCCTTCTGCCCCATGGCAGGGCTGGTGTGGTGAGCTGGCTGCAGGGTCTGCTTTGGGAGCAGAGCAAGAAGAGCTTCTGTGCACTTTAAGGATGTTACAGTGCTCGCCTTCTACCCCTCTTACTGTACTTTCAGCCCTCCTGAGTGATGTGGGTGGGATTACACACTCCCCCTTCCGGGAGGAGTTTGGATCAGTCTGCAAAAAATCTTGCAGTTCTTAAAAAAAAAAAAAATTCAAACCTGAACAATCTCTGGAGAAAAAGCTGTTCTCAAACATTACACAGCTGAAAATAGTATCACGCAAACCCTGAATATATTGAGGAATAAATTTAAACTGTTTTTTATTTCCATTTGTTCAGAAGCTTTTTTAAAAAATATATTTAAATCCCTAAAGGATCCTCTTCTATAAAAGCCCTTGTTCATGTCTGGGTCTAAGCAGGTTAGCTAAGTTTCTTATGTAACTATTATGATAATCACAAGGCTAGCAGCTGCTTATGCTCCTTTTGATTTTGTTCTCCCTCTTCCTCCCCTCCAAGCAGGGGATGAAACGGGTTAAGAAAGTCACAAGGAATGTGTGAATACTGTCTATAGCTTCTGGGAATAAAATGCATTTAGAGCAGTAATTCAGGGACCAACAGAAGGTTAATTACATCTACCCTATTTCATACCTGACTCTGTTTCTTTCAAGCTTTCAGTTTGTCAGAACATTTAGAAACAGCATTAAGGTCTTTGTTAGGGTCTTTTGGGCACCTACAGTTCTGCTCTCAGCAGTCTGTCAGTGTTCAAGGATCTGCTTTTGAATACAAGCAGTGCCCAGCACCCCAGAACTTGCAGGAGCAGAGCAAGAGACTCTGAGCACACACCTATTTGCATAGGTTTACTTTTCTCCCTGCAGAACTCGGCAAAAGAAGCTTGGGATGCTTGTGGCAATCCCTTTATCTTGGAGCTCTGCTGCTGTATTTGAGCACAGACCCTCTTGGATTATCCAATTGCCATGCACCAGAAATTGCACTTCTCTATGTTTTATGAGGAGGGTCATGAATATAACTTGCTAGCAGAAATCTGGCAATAAAGTACAGTTCTAAATATATTATGGACAAATCCAGCATTGTCTCCCTTTTCCTAGCTCACAAACCTCACTCCTGCTGCAAGTCTCAGTCCTGTTTCTGAGGTAAACAGGACATCTCTACCACTCCTAAGCTCCACAAAGAGGGAAGTATTTGTTTTTGGAAGGTATTTTGTGAAAGGAACTGTCTTTTCCAGACAAATACTTACAAAGAAATCAACAAGAGCACCTGTGACTTCCGACCAGGATCCTAGAATGGAACAGTCAAAACTCAAGAGTTAATAAATAAATACACATATCCTGATCGTGACACTACATATAACTGCTTTTGTCCTGTCTTCATAAGCAACAGTTTCTAGTCCTTTCATGAGTGAAGGAATGGCAACTTTTCTCTTCAGAATGCACCTACTGTTAGAAGTCTGCAGTGACCTCATTCAAAGTTATTTCCATAGCCACGAGGCTGTTTGCTTTTGAGTTACTAGTGGTTTCTCATGAAGCAGTAAGAACTCAAAATAGCTTAGCTCAGGCCACTGCCTCTCTTTTTTCTATAGTTAATGTCTATCAAAGGGCTTCCTGTTGCTCTTATTAGGTTCCCTCTCTAGCTTAGCTTCTGTGTCTTGACAGACAGTGGAATTAAAAGTCGAATTAGTACAGGCTTCCTCTGCCCTACACACAGTAACCAGGCCTATCCCTGGCCTCACTAGACCTGTACATGCTATTGCAACCACCATCCCCCCAGACTGATGAACACTTGGGGCACAGGGCTGGCTGAACCATCCTGCCCAGAGAGAGGTCTTTGCTCACAGAAAGAGCAAGAATTTTAGTCTCAAAATGCTTTAGCAAGCAAAACCTACTTGTTGAGGAGAGCTTCTGCTGAGAAACCTCATTCCAGAGGTAAACTCATCTATTATGAACCTTATTACCAACCCAAAGGTATGCAACTGAACAACAGAATGCCTCTTTTTTTTTTTTTCCTTTGACTGAAGTAGCCCAGAAGAGCACAGGCAACAAAGTATTCACTTAGTGCAGGCTGAATCATCAGGAAACACGCACTGAGATGTCCTTCAGCTTTGTGTAAATCACTGTTGCTACTGCAAATGTACCTGAACTAATGTGAGCGCCCAGCTAAACACCCCCAGACAGCTGTGCTGGTTTTGTTCAAACTCATGTATTTGCCACCTGCATTACCACGACAAAGGTTTAGCATAAAGGACTACACAGATTATACACATAATCTATGTTATAGCATCCTGCTGGATATTGCCTTCAGCCAGCTCAGGTACAGCTGCTACTGCTGCAGCCACACCTTCTGGCTTTGGGGTGCACATACGGTGCAGCGCCAAACTACACATTCAGATCACTGCCACAATGGAGCGAGGATTAATCCAGGATTGAGGGAATACACAGATCTTCTCTCCTAATTATTATATAGTCACAGTTAATTACAAGGGGTTTTTCCTAATTGAAATTATTCTGCTGTCACTTCACATACGAGGATTTAGCAAGGAAGAGCAGAACTAAGCGAACCACAGTAATCGCTTGGAACAAGGAGCTCTGCCAGTGGTACAGAGCTGCACACAGAACCTATTCCTGAGTCTTCAAAACTCCCTATAAAGGATGAGATCCTGTTATTTTCATCTTGATACGTGTCACACCTTCCAGCACTTCTCAAACTTTAGGCTATTTCAAACAATCATTTATCACAGATTAATTTGCTACTGCTCGTTGACTGTTCATACAGTCATTGACTGACTTTCACTTCCTGTAACTCTACGTAGAGTTAAAGCTACTGACTATCATAAAACCATTTTTAAAAGGGTAAAAAGCAGACTTCTTTAGAGCAATAAACAACCCTTGGGTTTTTATTCTCATGTATTGTATACAAGTTTAGCCTCAGATCCCTGCTCATTTTTGATGCCACCAAGTACAACTCAGTGAGTGTTGTTAGCTGCCTGACATTCCACATTTAAAAACCATGTTCATATATATAATCCACACTTTCAGTGATATTGAATAACAAATTCAGCCAGTTACATAGTAAGGAGGACCAACGTTATGTCATTAAACTAAAAAAAACCTAAACAAACCAGAACAAAATTCTGTTTGTGACTAGTGACCAGTGACTAGTGCTGGCAAATTACAAATAGAACCATTGCACTATTCCTTCCCCTTTAATTACACACTTGTCTCTTATTTTCATCAAGCTCCTGCAAGAAGTATGACCTGTAAAAATATTTGTGAAATAATAAAGTGAAATCTTATAGACATGAAAAATTTTATTTATCTGTATGCACACTTCTTGACACAGCTAAGCCTATGGGAATTTTTATCCCAGTTTTCAAGCCAGTAGATCAAATTTCTGCCCTGACAAATGCTCGTTACTCACTTCCCACTCCAAACACTCAATATACAAATCAGCAGCGGAGCTTCCCAAAACCATCACCTTTTGCACAAATCATCTCTCCTACAGGTAGTGAATCATCACAGATCGTTCCAATACTGTTTATTCCACCATTCAATATGGAGCTGCATTTGTGATTTCCAGTTCAAATGATTCTTTTACTCTATCGTTGATCTGAATGCCCCATGTGTAATCCTCTCTACTTCTGCTCATGATTTCTTCACAGTTTTGCAGTTTGTCCATGCACAAAACATTAGGAGTCATTTTACTAAACAAGTAGAAATTTTTGCCTTTAAGTTGTTTGTTTGTTTTGTTTCTGGTTTTATTTAGTTCTAGGTACAGTGCAGGTCCCATGTCTGTACAGCATGTCCTGTGTATGACGTATATCCCCAGGCTCTGTCACTTGGTCCAGCAGTGGCCGTGGTGTGGGGCAGTGCAGAGGTTCTAGAGCCTCATGGTGTCCTGGTGGAGAAGGAGAGGGGCCATGTGGAGACACTGACGGCTCTGAGGGAGCACAGGACTTGGGGGGAGGGGGTTCACCTCAGCTCAGCTCTGGCACTGTGCCACTGGAAGACGACGCTTCCTTGTGCCCTCAGCTGGGGAGAGCGGAACAGCAGGGATGGCAGGACATCAGAGCCCGTGGGGCCAGGCCCCAGTACTCGGCTGTTCCAGCAATAAGTGTGTCTGAAGCCCAAGAGGCCTTGGAGGCAGCCGGGGGCTGCAGCTGATGGGCCCTGGCAGTGCCTGCTGTGTGGAGCTGAGGGTCTGGGCTTTAAGGGCATGTGGCTGAGGTGGGTCAGAGTATCTGGGGGGTGCACCTGATTACACTACAGGGCCTGTCTTGGGCAACGGGAGGCAGTGGGGAGGCAAACTGGGACCCAGTGGGGCAAGTTAGAGCCTGATGGGGACACGTGGGACCGCTGCAGGGTGACATGGGCATTGGGAGCAACGACAGGAACAACTTGGGGTCTGCTGGGGGCCATTTGGGGCCCCATGGCTGCAATTTGGGGCTCAGAGGGCCATTTGGGGATGCTGCCTCGATCTACAAGACTAGACAGTAGGAGTGAAACAGTGAAGGAAATCAACAGATTAACTGTGGCAATTCCTTTGCTTGTTAAATGCACAGCACATGACAGAGACTTAACCCAGAGCCTGCAGCAGAAGATGGACTATGGCTTTACAAGTTGTTCAAATATACAGGAGAAGGCATAACAACAAATGCTAAGGCAGCTTTATTTGGACTTGTACTCTAACTACTTAGAGTGCAAGCTCACCTTTATTAATCTAGTAAATTGTGGCGATTAATCAGGGATCAGTTCCCTTTAAGTATAATATAGAGTACAGGCAGAGTAATAGCAAACATAGCACACGTCAGTGCAGTGCTGTAAATAGAACTTCTCTTGATTTGTGTTTCCAGTCTCCGCTCGGTATCACACAATTCCAAAATCACATCTCTCACAGCAGAAGCCTGGCCCTTGCCCTCCCCTGAAGACCTCGGGATCACCCTTTCCGTAGGTCTAGAGTGGATCGCGAGTTTAACGCTCTGCATCTCAGACAGCACCTGCGTGATACTTTCCTGCAGACTGTTAAACTGCTGCTGTAAACTCCCTAGACATGAACTGACTTGTTTAATGTAGTTTAGCTGTTCGTTTAAAGGAGTTAAAAGTGAATCTAGTTTTATGGAGTCATTCCTGGTTTCTCTAGTTAACAAAGCGCCCTCTTTTACTCCTTTCGATTCTGTTGTTTGCAGCACTTTTTTCAGGTCTTCTATGACATCACTGAGATCCTTTTGCTGTGAGTAATGGCTGGAGGCCTGTTCTTTGATTGCTTCTTGTAAATTTATTGGGCCCTTTTGCGCTTCAAGCACCAAGACTTTCAATTCTTGCAGCCTTACTCGATTTACATAGGTGGAACCAAGAACACCTATAACGGCTCCCAGCACAGAACCAATAATAGACCAGTTCTTAGTTTTCTCAGCTCTTGTGCGCTCTTTCTCATGGCTTTCCCTTACAGCTGCAGAGAAGAGAGAGAATTTTTCTCTCTCTGATTCTTCTGCATTTAAATATGCAGCTCGGTACCTCTTCTCTTCCTGTAAGAAATATAGTGATTAAAAGAGAAGGTATAATATAAAGCTATATAGTCTATAATAAACTAAAACATCCTGTAAACCCCAAAACCCTGATGCAGATGTAGAAAGGAAAATTGGGAACATCCGTTAGTTCGGTTTCAGAAGTTTTCCCTTGAATGTGGGATTTTCTTTATTAATCCTACTTAAGTCAATGAGACATCATTTTAAGTCAAAATTTAGAAATGGAAAAGGTTGTCGGGAATCACAGCTGAAGATCCTGTACAGGAGAATCTGTCAAGTGCTGATGACAGAAAAGGGATATGAGTTCACTTTTTCAGCCCTGATAACTTCTCCAGACACCACCCTTACCACACCTTTCACTTTCAAATCCCTTCAGAGGGAACTGAAAATAGGACTGAAAAGGACATCTCAGATAGTTTCATCTGACGAACACATTTCTTATTCTTCTGCATTCTCTCTTTTACCCTTCTTACAGGTAAATGTCTTCCCTTTCTTCCTGCATCTCTCAGAATTATTTTTCCAAGGATATATTTCTTTTGTGAGATGGCACCACCACCTTACAGACAGCAGTGACTTGAATTCTACCCTTCTTCATGGTCATGCAGAGCTCAGTTCTTCTTTAGGTCTCATCCAGACAAATCCGATCCCATATTTAGACAAGTACAGCTCTCTAGTTCTTTCCCAGTGTTCTACCCACTGATGCAGGAGCTCAGTTTTGTCTCAGATATCAGTACTCACTCCTTGCCTGAACTTTGCCACGTGTACCTGCTTCCGAGCCTGCTCCTGCAGTTTCATCTAGATTTCCTGGATTTACTGGGTGTTGCAGCCACAGAAAATGCAGATGAATTTTCATGGATTAACCAGAAAGAGTTTCTCTCATCATATGGAAGGTTAATTCACTGAATGGCAGCTTTTTCTTGACTACTCATGTACAGATCACCACCACAACAACTAATTTCTAGGCTCATTATCCGCAGTTTTCTTCTCCAAATTTACTACCCCATTTCAGCATTAACATATACAATTTGCAGAGTGGGTCAAACCACTCATAATAATTAACTAAAGCAAGTATCCTAAAAAATTAACTTGGATCACTTACTTTAGAACTGAACTGCATCTACAAAAACAGTCACTAGTGATGGAAGCAAAGCACACAAATTTTCAACATATTTGCCAATGCTCAAGTACCAACAAATTACCTGCAGCAACCTGTGTTCCAGAGTAGCCAGTTCTAAATACTGGGTGTCATCCCGAGAGACCCTGTCTAAGCGGTCCCGAATTTCCTTCAGTTTTATCTGTTGGGCTTCTACATTTTCACGAGCCTCTCGTACTATCCCTCGAGCTATCATAAAGACATTTTCTGCCTGAGAAGAAAGAGCATTTATTTTAGAAACTTATAACCATACAGATCTAAATTGTTATTCATACAATATTTTTTGGGGGGAGGGAGCGAGGGAGGAAAAAACCCAACAACAAAACAAACCACACTCCATTTCAATCCAAGGGATAAGCTCTATTTACTACATGCATAGCCTGGAACACATTCACAGTACCTGCACAGACAGTCAAAGCAGAAAAAAAAAGACATGATTCTCCTTGGAGGATCTTTTCTGCCTCACAGCCAGTGATTATGCTCCATATAGCTTAACTCATAAATTTAAAAATCCACATTATCTTCACGTTTACCTCTGTCACTTTTCCTTGAGCCTCTCGAACTTCATTAATTCCAACAAACTCTTCATATTTGTCCCACCAATTCTTGCATGTTGCAGATGCTTTTTGAAGGGATTGTTTTCCCATCACAGTCCCAGTTTCTGTGAGTCGATGAAGGAGGCCCATGGCCATTTCTATGGCAGACTTGGTTTCAGGCCTCTTGGGTCCTGAGGAGCAGTAAGTCCTCACTACATGTAAATTCATTTTGGGACTCCACTTCATCAACGAATGGTGGTATTGCAGGCCACAGGACACTGAGGACACACTTGATTTATATTTCATTGGCCCCATGTCTTCAATTTAATCACTGACTAAATGTGCTACAAGGAAGAAGAAGAAAAATAAAAGTTATTGAAGTACAGATGATTTGTAAGTCTTAAAACTACACGTCTACCAAAGCCAACCAAATCAAGAATGGCTAAACCATCGTTGGTTTTACACCACTGCTCACCTAGAAAACTTGCCACAATTCCAATAAAGTGCAATTGTGCCACAGATTCCTGCTTTTCTGCTGTTAGGAAGTACTCCCACCATGCTTCATGCTTCTTGATTACTAACTCGCTCACGGCGTGAACACCAATCATGTGCAGATCCAGCGCCAGCAGGAGTAGCTTCAGAAGAATTTAGTGCTTCAGCACAGCAGTGACTGCACTATGAAATTCTGCCTTGTGGTTTCACACTTGGTGTCACAGGTACTCACAACTCTACAAAAGACAACAAAAGGAAAAAAGACAGAGAGTGGAAAAAATCTTGGTAAGAAAAGAAGTGTGGCTCAATCATTTCCTTTATCTTAGACTGCACAGATACACGATGTGTTGAAGGACAAAGAAAAAACACAGAAATGCTGAACTGAACACAAGAAGTATTTCTATGAGACTGCCTACAAAAAGAAAACATCAGGAAGAGCCACAAGATCAGAAAAATCTCAAGTAATGAACACACAGCTGTGCTGCATTTTTAAATGAGCTTAAAATTCTTGCCTACGCTGCAAAAGCAGGCTGTTAGTTATGGTTTATTGTCTACTATTGTAAATGTGATCTTAATGTTCTACTGAGCACATTCCTCTAAAAACTGGAAATAGGAAAACTTTCAAATAAGGTTTAATATGAAATTTGAGTATGATTATATTATGTTTTGACTAATAAAATATAAAACCAGGAATTACTGAGGAAGCTTGATAGCTGTTGCACAGTATTTTTAATTACTTTAAAACAATAAAACAATGTTAATCTTAGGCGGCTATACAGGCATCTCCACAAGAAAGGGCTGTTCCAACTGGAAAATGGTTTTTCATCAGCTTTTTAGCTGGCTGGCTAATTTTGAACACCACAAGTTCATTCCCTGCCTAGTATTTCCAGCAAACAGTAATAACACCAAGTGGCACTATGAAGATCTTAGCAGTTGTTTTATATGCATAACAACACGGAAGATCAAACCCACAAGGCATGGAAACGAAGTGAGTCCTCTCTCCTTCCAGCATCACTCACACATGTCCCTGTTTACAACACCTACTCTTATGTTGCAGGCCATGTACTAAACCTCAGCTCAACTTTGCCTGTTCCAGGCTGCAAAATTCCCCTCTTTTAATGGCAATACTACACAAAGAGTTTTACGAAAAGTTCAGGCTACTGTAGCACAGCAAAAGGAGAGGGAAAGCTGAGATTTCGAGGAGGATTTCTATGCAGACAAGTCACACAGAGCCAGTGAAGAAAGTGATCTCAGTCTGAGCTCACAGGACGCAAGAAAGCTGTGAGAGGTCAACCCGAGATAACCTGCCTGGCTCCCCTCTTGCTTCCCCTCGTAAGCAGCGCTTTTTCCGCCCGCAGCCCTTCACAGACTCGCCTCCAGAATCCGCCGCACACACCGAGCGCCGGGGGCGAGCCAGACCCGCCTTTACGGGTCCCGTCCGATCCCGGCCGAGCCGAGGCGAACCCAGAACTCCCGCCGCGCACCCCCAGCCCGCAGCCGGGCTTCCCCCCATGACCGACCCCCCGGGCCCTCTCCCCGGCGCCCCCGGCCCGGCCCGGCGCTCCCGTACCTGCCCCGGCCCCGGCGGAAGCGGCGGCGGCGGCGGAAGGGGCGGGCGCGGCGGGCGGAGCGAGCGGAGCCATGTCGGGCCGGGAGGGTAAGGCCGGGCCCGGGGTGCCCCCGTGCCGCCCGCCCGGCCCCGCCCGGCCCTCACTGTGTCCTCTGTCTTTGCAGGCGGCAAGAAGAAGCCGCTGAAGCAGCCGAAGAAGCAGACGAAGGACCTGGATGAGGTAAGGGCGGCGGGGGAGGCCCCGGGGGCGCGGGCCCGGCTGCGTGGGGTGTTCGCTGAGGTCTACAAGAGCATCTAAGTGGCAGGACGAGAGGGAATGGCTTCAGATTGAAAGAGAGGAGGTTTAGATGAGATATTAGGAAAAAATTCTTCACCGCGAGGGTGGTGAGGCCCTGGCACAGGTTGCCCAGGGAAGTCGTGGGTGCCCCATCCCTGGAAGTGTTCAAGGCCAGGGTGGACGTGCCCCTCCCTATGGCCCCTCCCTATGGCAGGGGCTTGGAACTGGATGATCTTCAAGGTCCCTTCTAACCCAAACCATTCTTTGGTGGCATCCCGCCCGTGTTCCTGGTGGATGCAGCAGTGCTGGCTAATGGAGGAGCCCGGAATGCCCTCGCTGCGATCAGAAGTCTGTCAGATAATCGCTGTGGTCCCAGGAGCCCGGGACAGGGTACAAACCCGGGAATTATCAAGTAGTTTGAATAAATTAAGTGCTAGTGGATTGTGTGTTAGAGATACTCAAACATAAGGACTCAGAGTATGGGTGTCAGCTGCTATTTCTGAGGATAGTGGATGATGGATAAGGCACCACTGACTGGAAAAAGGCAAGTACAGTGTCTCTTTGAAAAAGGAAAAAAAAAGAAATCATAGTTTTCTAAATAAGCTTTGTTGTTAGAGAAATGGTAGAACCAATTAAAGGCTTACAAGGATCCAAGTTATAGTAATGTAAAAATTAACAGTCATTGTGGATTTTAATAAAACTGTGGCAAATAGAGGTTCTGTCCTGTAGCAGGGCAGTGCTCAGTGCATGAGAATAAACCCCAGGAGATATGAGATTATTGATACCAACTGGTGTAGTGTTCTCAAATGCAAGGCACGAATGGGGCCTTGGAAGGTGATGGTGCAACTTGCTGAAATGCCACACTCTCAAAGCATTGTCTGCAAGGATGTGCTGAGTGAGGTTTTGCAGGATTTTGTATTTGATCAGAATCTGAGTGATACTTTGATTGGTGTCTTGGGTGGTTGGCTGACAATATGGCTTATTCTTTTGGTTGGAAACAGAAAATTTGGAGGGGCCACAGGCTGTCAGAGACAAGACTAGTGCTCAAAGTAATCTTAACAAATCAGGGAAAGTTTGAAAAATAGATTATTTAATTAAGCATATATGCTAAGTCCCTTTCTTTGAAAAGACTGATGAAGTTACAAAATATGAGCAGGATGACTGGCTAAACTGCAGGTCCACAAGAAAGGGTCATATACTGAACACCTGCAAAATCAGGTGTTGCAGAAGAAGAAAATCATATAAGATATGTTAAAAAAGTCTTGTGTATTAAACGTAATGTAGTATTTATTTTCCTCTCAGCCCTGCAGTGGTGCAAGCACTTGGGAACAACACATTGCAAGAAAAAAAAGCCACTGAAGTGAATAAATGTGAGGGTTTAATTTATTAGGAAAGACACTTTAGGCTACAGGAAATAACAAAACAAACAGGAAAACCCAGAGATAGAAATGGAATATTTTGTTCTATGAGGGGTAGGTAGGGGAGGTAATAGGGTGACACTGCAGTAAGAGAAGCTTTAACTGAAAGAAGAGGAGGAAAGCTTTGCAGTTACAAAGAGTAGTTGAGACGTGGACTGGATTGGTGAAGTGTCCGTGGAATCTCAGTTGTCAAGGTCCTCAGTTTAGTTAACCCAAAGTCCTGAGGGCCAAGAAGAAAACTGTGTTCCCTTTCAGTCTTGATATCTGTTAAGTATGTGAGGGACATAGTATGTCTGAGCTGTCCTGAATTCCAGAGGCTGTTCCAGCAGGGATGCTCAACAGCTGGCTTGCCTGTACATTTTGCCAGCAGTCTCAATAGATTTCTTGGAACTAATACAAATATATTAAACCCAGCAAAAAGTGATGTGTGTGGGACGTTTTATTTGAAATTAATGCTTTTTTAGGTAAATGAAACCTTTTTACTTACATCCTATATAATCCCACATTTTGTTGTTAGTGCCTGTGCACCAGGCTCCATGTGTCGATGGCACGTTAGTGAATGGTGTTAGTGCAAACATTTGCCATTCAGAGGGATCATAATCTCAGAACAAGATTATGCCAGGGGAAACAATTCCAGAAAGACCAAACATACAAAGTTAAAGTTTAGCCATTGTGTTGTGGTACAGCAAAAACCTTGGTGATAGTTCTGCAAAGTTTTGTGCAGTATATTTTAGCAGTCTTATATTTTGGCAGTATTCAGCCATCCTGCCTCAGTCCAGTCAGGTGTTGGTTGCTGCTGAGCATTACATTTGTTTCTCAGTGCCTGTCAGTTGCTTTTCAATTTTGTGTGTGGGGGGGAAGAGATGTTAACAAATGCTGCTGTTCTTTCCTTTAGACAGATCTGGCATTCAAACAAAAGCAGAAGGAGGAGCAAAAGAAACTTGAGGAGATGAAAGCAAAAGCTGCTGGAAAAGGGCCTCTGGGTAAGTGAGGTGCCATCCTGATAGGAGAGATGGAGGACTTGCTGACTTCAAAAATTTAATGGTTTTGCTTGACAAACATGAAAAGGCAGGTACCTCTGAGTTTATTTGCAATAGACCAGCAAGTTGATGGCAGGTACAGATTATATGTAACAAGTAGAGGCTATTTATTTTTCTTTTTTCTCTTTGGCTGTGCAATTTCACCCCCAAATTCCTGATGCAGGTTCTGGTTTAGCAGGTAAAACACTGTGTCTGGCACGCTGACCTGTTCTGGTGGGATGTGCAGAGACACTCCTATTCTTATTTTAGCATACCAGCCTTTTCTTGCCAGATGTATTATATGTAGGCTTTGCCACAGTGTTCCAGGTTTAACAAATCCAGTGCTTGTCCTCTGAGAGGATGAATTTCTTCTATAGCAGGAGATTCATGGCAGAAAAAGAAAAGATGGCTGGAAATCAGTCTGGCTTCAACCTTTTTGCCTTAGTGACTGTAAAGGATGTGCTGTCACAGAGAAGAGTTCACAGGATGCATCTTGGTGACCCATCAAACCCAGTCTCTGTCTCAGTGATAGCAGGAGGCTTAATGTGAGTCCTGCACTCAGACTGTTCAACTCCACACTTTGCTTCCTATTCGTCAGTGAACTTTCAGTCTTGAAAGGGCCCAGAAAAGACCTTTCCAACAGTCCCATGGTTTCACTAACAACCTTTGCTATGTCGAGGTCAGACTGGGTCTGTAGTTACCCAGTTCTTTACAGAACCTATTCAGTATCTGGGAACTTTGCTGGCAATCAGTGAGTCCTCTGACATTGTGGCTGGACTGACGTTTCAAATCTTAGCCAGCAGTTCTGCATTTTCATGTTAGAACTTGTTGGTGCTGTTGGAGGAAGTGCCATCCAGTCCCACTGACTTGGGATATTTCTTGTTTATTTATCTCAAATTCATCTAGCTCCTCTGATTTATCCCTCCACAAAAAATGTGCAGGTGTGGCACTCAGAATGTCTTTGGTGTAACAGGGTGATGCAAAAGAATTCCTTGAGCCTCTGTTCTGTCCTTACCACTCTAAACTCGCTCTGTGTAGGTCGCTTCAACTCACAGATCCTCATAGTTCTTTCCTGCCATTATTACTCTGCCTTGTTCTAGACTGAATGTCAGTCATGTGGTCCTTGTCTGATGCCTGCCAAAGCAGGTAACAAACGTTACTGTGGCAGGCTCAGCCTCTTCCCAAGAGCCTCAGCAAAGGCAACACTGTTGGAATCATGGTGCAGTGCAGAGTTTGTTGTTGACCTTCAGCCCTTGCAGCCTGTCTTGGTGCAGCCTTGCTGTTCTCATCCCTTCCCACTGGTTGTACCTGACACATGGGGTGAAAACCAGCATTGACAAAAAATGCCACACTTGTTGCTGTGCCAGTACGTGGTGTTCTTTCACCCTGCTGTAGTGTCTTCAATAATAGGGACTGCAGGGAACAGATAATTCCAGAGAACTAGAATTCTCATCATTCCAGTACCTGGTTCTGTAGAGCTTTGATCCATCCCAACTTTTGGCTTTGGTTGCTATAGGGATAATGATGCATTTATTTCCTTAGCCTTGAATTTGATTTAACCAGACTATGCTCCTGCTGTATAAGAAATAAACATTAACAATGAGGAATAAAGTAACTCTTGAAATATTTAGTTCTGTTGTAGATTCATGGGGCATATTTGTTTCCAGGAGAAACTTAGTTTCTAATGTTTAAGTCACTCATTCAGACTAAAGTGTGTGAGATAAAAACCAGTGGGGATCTGGGCTGCAGAGAGAGTCTAGGGGGGAGTCGACTTTATGAGGAATGAATTTGTAGCTGAACTGTGTCACAGTCGTCTAACCAGCTGTGTTGTTTCTTTTGGCAGCCAGTGGTGGAATAAAGAAGTCTGGCAAAAAGTAGTTTGATTAAACTGCAGGGTAAGAAGTGATCGAGTTACTCAATGGATCTGCAGACTTCAGAGAGTTATGAAAACTCACTGTCATTTTGGGAACATTGTACATTTTGTTTAGTCGGAATAAATCCTTTTTGTTAAGATGTGATATTTTCTATTTCCCTCTAGGTTTTGTTTAAAAATGGCTTTACTGTTTTACACTGGTAATGAAATGTGACCTTGTGCAGCCTGAGTGCATCTGTGGCGGTTGGTAGTTGTTTGTGAGACTAAATTTCAGTTTCTGCCCTCTTTTGACAATGGGAGACAGGGTCTGAGTGTTAAAATCTGCACAGTTTTAATCTGGAAGTTTAGGTTTAGCTGCAGGTTTTTGAGATGCGTGCTCTTGTAAGAGGTGCAAGTTTTCCCTAAAGAAAAATTGGGTTGTACTTCTGCTGCCAGCAGCTTAGGGTCTGCCAGTCTCCACAACAACACTCCATTCCGTGTTCCTACTTAACAACGTTGCAGTGCCCTACAGTCCCAGTGCCTGCTGGATGTACACTTGCCTTTGTCCTACAGATAGTCACTACACCCTATTCTCCTGAACTTTTGCATGTTGTCGTCGCAGCTCCTTTACACTCATGGAATGCCTTGAGCAGGGGGAGAAGGGAGGGGAACAGTCCTTGTGAGACTGTAACTTAACTTTTAAAATACAGAGCTATGGCAGTACATTGGGTGTGGAAACCTCAAGGAAGGGTATGATGATCCCAAGGTAGGAGTTAACGGTGGGGCTGAGGGGGGAAGAATTAATGAAGAGCCCTTCTTACTGGATAGTAAGAGCAGGCCAGAGGCTGCTCCTGCTGTCAGGAGGGGCAGGTGACGGCTGCAGAAAAGGAATGGCTGCTGTGGACAAGGAGGCACTCAGGCTGCACTGGGGGGAGCTACACGGGAAATCTGGGCTCGTTCACATTCTGGGCTCCTAAGGAAGAGAGCGCACGTCTCGGTTGCCATCGCACGACGTGCAGCTAAGAGGGTTTGCTTGTTAAAAAAAGACATTCTAGGGGCTGAGGGCGGGGCCGCGCCCGGGGGTCCCTCAGCGTGCCCGGGCTCTGCCGCCCCCGCGCGGCGGCCGCGGGAGCTGCGGGGCCTCCATGGCAGGGGTGCGGCTGCGCACGCGCAGCGCTTCCCGCCGCCGGAGCGGCCCTCACAGCGCCCTCGGTGTCCCCTCAGTGTCCCCTCAGTGGCCCCACTGTGTCCCCACTGCCCTCCAAAGGGGTGAAAATCAGCCTTTGGCGGCACCAAGAGAATTGTTGTCTCTAAAGGTACTACTCTGGAGAACAGATTGAGTCCTGCCAACTCACGGAGCCGGTGAAGGCTGGAATTCACGCTTGAATGATTTCTGCGTTTTGGATAAAGGTAACTTGTGTGTCATAAAAATGTTCTCGCAAAGATGTGGGACAGAGATACGGAGCAGGGACTGCCCAGGCTCGGTGCAGAACGCTGAAGGCAATGTACGCCACCACTGGTGCGTTTTGGGGCAGAGCTCAATTCCAACACATGAAACACAATCACAGACACTGTGCCTGCAGGTCTGTGTGCTCAGAGTGAAAGCAGAAGCTGTACTTCATTTCCATCAGTCATACACTGAAGGGGACACATCCTTACCCACGCTGCCTACGTGCACCATTTTCCGCTGGTATCAAAGTAGGTAACCTAAGGGGGGTGGTTTAAAGGAGAAGGAAGAGAGACAGGGAGACAATATCCTATAGATTTGGCCAGAATATGAGAGAAATAAAACCCTGGCAGTGTATCAATAAGAAATTGTTTGCCCCAGGAGTTACTGAATGAAATGAATAAGGTTGCCAATCCCAGCCAAGCTAACTTGAGGTGGTCTTAGTAGAGGACAGTGAACAGAGATGTGTGTTCCACAGCATGAGACAATATGCAAAAGCCTTTCTGCCAAAAATCAAGACAAGAGGGAAGAAGACCAAATGGCAAAGTGACAGATCTCTGCTGTGGCAGAGCTGTTCTCAATAGGCTTTACTTTAATGTAGGCATTCAACTGCCCTCCTGGCCAAGAGTCCTCCTGTGTTTAATATTAGGCTGTGGAAATGAAGCTGAACAAAGGAACAGTTTGATTGTATCTTTTTGCATAATGCTATGTAATAAATGGCATTTAATTCCTTACTGCAGCTCCAGCTCAATGTTAAACTAATGCAAAGACAATATAACTCCTAAATCACATATATACATAAAATGATGGTCTGAAGGGTACAGAAAAAACAAAGTCCAAAAGGCAGTAGGAAATGGGTGTAAATTAAAATGGCAGAGTAAACGCAAATATTCTTTGCAGGGAAATCCACTGAAGGATACAATTGCCATAATCATTTCAAGTCAAGCTCCACTGTTTTAAAGGACTCTTCCCACTCTTTAGAGTTAGTTCAGCTCTAAGGAAATCATACCCTGCTCTGAATGGCTTCCAGATACTGATTCATGGGAGGTCTCAAAGAGGAAGCTTCTCTAGTACTAATTAAGCCAGCCTGGAGAACTGGATGTGAACTTCTGCTCTGCCACAGATTTGCTTCGTGACCTTCTGTAAGACCTTTTGCATTCTAGTTTTCTTCAAAATGGAGCAACTGGTATTCTCTTACTTCAGAATAAGATTCTGAGACTTAATTAATAAATAATTGTAATGTACTGCTCCTGCTAGGCAAATTCCAGTGCAAAAGCCTGTGATGTAGGAGCTGAGGCTAAATCGGAGTTTGAGGACAGAGAATGTGCTCTGCATGTTGCTAAGCTTGCTCAGTCACCTTGAACATGTCATTCTTCACCAGTCTTTGCAGAGCAGCCTGAGATCCAGCTGAATCACACAAGAAGAGCACATCAGCTCTGTCTCTTTGGCCAGTTCATTGTTGCATTCAACTGTTCACTATTTTGACATTATCACTGCCCTTTAACAGTCTACAAAATTGCCTGTTCTAGCCTGCTTTTCTAGGTCTTATCCTTGTATGAGGTTTTAAAATACAAGTGGAAGAATCTAAATTACCTTCAGAAATAAATATCTTCTACATGGCAAGTATTATACTTATTTACTATGATTCTGAAATAAAATTCTTTTTGGTAGAGGTTGATCTGCTTTTATACATGACTCAAATATCACAGGTTTGGGGAAAAAAGTATTAAATGAAATAAAGCCATAAATATAATGGCTGATAAAAGAAAACTGCACTTGGAGAATTATGAGAGCATTTTCTAAAGCAGTAAGACAGTAATTTCAGGTGTCAAGGCTTTTGCTTCAGTGAAGTGTTTATTTTTAGCCTAACCATCATTATTTATCGATTTATGCAATGCCTCTCTCCACTCTAATACGCTGCACAGAATTATGAGCTACATACAAACCTCAGGAATGCAGAAGCCATTTACGACCATGCAAACCCCCACTGTTCACTAGATAATATTTTGCACTTCCTAGAGGCAGGAGATTAATTAGGTAACAAATTTCCTAAAATCCTTCTATATTTGGCAGCCTGCCATTTCCATACTGTTTCTACAGATATCACTGAAATTGCAGGACCTCCAAAGCAGAAGCCAGCTGGGGAGCAACAGAGCAAAGGAAGAGTTTACCTTTTGAAAGAAAGACATTAATATACCCTAAAGTTCAGGTGTAAATGGCAGAGAGTTAAAATTAAACCTGTACTAAACTAAATAAGTACTCCCATAAACCCCACATAATTTTAGTGAAGAGAGAAGAATAAAAAGTATCAACAGGGAAAAAGGGCAACTGTGATGTAAAATAGTTTAGGTTTTCATGAGATTTATTGTGATCAACTTACAGAAACTTTTTTTCCCACCTGTGGGAAAATAATGCTCTTGCTGAGCAGGTAATTCTATTTCAGTTCTTTAGATCATGGTTCTTGCCTATCTTTCTGCTCAGCTCAAGTCACTTGTCTGTAATAAGACAGCATATCATCTAAACTTCGGTAAAGTGGTTCCTGCTTTGGGGTGTCACTGCTGTCGGTCTGCCCTGGAGGTGACACATCCTGGGTGCTGCAGCCACTGGCCTGCGTTCCTGGTGGCACATCTTGGGTGCTGCTGCCACAGGTGTGTGTTCCTGGTGGCACATCCTGGGTGCTGCACTCACAGACCTGCGTTCCTGGCGGCGCATCCTGGGTGCTGCTGCCACAGGTGTGCATTCCTGGTGGCACATCTTGGGTGATACAGCCACAGGTCTCCATTCCTGGTGGCACATCCTGGGCGCTGCAGCCACAGCTGTGTACTCCTGGTGGCACATCCTGGTTGCTACAGCCACAGGCCTGCATTCCCGGCGGCACATCCTGGGTGCCGTAGCCATAAGCCTGCATTGGAAAGGGCACCTCGGGAGCGCCATAGCCGTACCCGTGCATTGGTGGCACCATCCCTGGCGTGCCGTAGCCATAAGCCTGCACTGGAAATGGCACCTCGGGAGCGCCGTATCCATATGCCGGCATGGAGGGCGGCACAGCCCGGGCTCCGTAGCCGTAAGCCCGCATTGGCGGCGGCACAGCTCGGGCACCGTAGCCATAACCCTGTGCCGGTGGCAGCCTGTCCTCATCGTCGCTGCTGTCATCCTCCCCTGACGACACCTCCTGAGTGTCACGGCCAGAGGCCTCTGCTGGTGCTGCCTTATCCTGGACACTGCTGTCGGAAGCAGCGCTGCTGCCGCTGCCCTGCACCGATGGCATCTGTTGGTTCTGTGCTCTCTCTGTTTCTGGCTTTTCAGAGGAGGTTTCAGGACTGTTCAAATTCCGACTTCGGTAATTATCATCTTTCTTTTGTCCCAAAAAGTAATCAGAAGGTGGTGCAAATTCTGGATCTCGCTCATCTCTAAGTTCTTCCTGTTTCTTTTCCCATAGTCCAAACATCAGTTCTGTTAGAAACAGGAAAATGGTAGATTTAGCATAGATGTCAGGGGCTGAAGGTCAGTCAGAAAGGAGAGAAAACAAATTAGCAAACAGTATATGCAACTGTGTAAAGCCATCTGAAGTTACTTTTCCACCTAGTACTACATGGAAATACAAGAACCTAGTGTAGATTCCTTCACTGAGCCACATTTATTTCACTTTGCATTTTAGAGTAAGCTGTCCTCTGCTTTCTGAGTGTGATATCTGCTGCAGAGTACAGTGCTGCTTGGGTGTCAGACTCTAGGATTCCTCAGAGGTAGGAAAAAATCAGTGTCTGGCAGGAATAGGATTTAACAGATAGGATCTGAAAGTTTGGAGTTTTCACAAAACCACAAAGTTTCCCTCACAATGTATCATTACTTTTTAGCCTTGTTGTGTACCTATTTGTGTAAAAACATCCTGCCATCATGTAGCACAAACCACAAAAGTACATCAAGAAGAAATCCCATTGAAAGACAGTAAATCTTATGAACTATGAAATTTATCATTCTGTCAATCTGTCTAGATCATCCAGAAATTGAATAACTCACATAGAAGAAAAAATTATGGGGCTGTTACAGCAGCTACTGGCACTTGTCGGTCACTGCCCTGGTCACTGGATAGTCATCGATACCAAGGCAGAAAGGATTTCATTGCTTCTCAGTCTTACCACACTTTGTCACAAAACAGAAATTAAAGTAGCAGCATGCATGTTGTTTCCCAGTGATGCTCCTGACTCTGCATTTTCTTACCTTTGCCTTTATCCCACTCTCGGACGTAGGGCACGCCAGGCTTTGTATCTCTTCTCTCCTGGATAACAACCTCCACCTTCCTGCTTGCTGCAGTAACTCTTGGAGGTTCTGGTTCCTCGGTAACAGCTTTCACCTCTGTGTTACAGGAAGAGACAGCAGGGGTTGTTAGTTATAAGATAAAACCTATATGAACCTCACAGGTAAAAATAAAGCTGTTAGCATGGTATCCCTATTTCATTTACTGGAGAAAACGATTTACATTCTTATTCTTCTGAACAACTGTAACAGTGAGCAGTGACACGTTACTGTTCTTCCTTTCCAGAACACACCATTAATCACTTGCATAGAATTCTGACATAGTGAAATATTAGCTACATTTTACAGTGGGAGATAGACAGTAAAAGTTGACTACCAGTGTGTCATAAGGGAGACAGTCAGAGATAGGATTAGAATTCAAATTCATCATCCTAAATCCTACAGTCAGCTGTATCTCCAATATACAGACTGCACTGAAACTGTTATAGTATATACTGTATGATATAAAAAAATAACTTGTTACACCTTTTTATTCCACCTCTTCTTAATAAAAGAAAAAGCTAGTAAAATGTCAGCAACTCTAACCTCCACCTGCATAATTAACCCACATAATTCCTGCTGTCAGGCGGGAATCAAAAAAAGGCTACAATCTACATACCACATTTTACCTACATTATTAAACTATTTCTAGCATGATTTTATATCTACACACATATGAACTCTCACTATCCTAACAGTTACACTAATTGTATATACAGAACACACAATACCAATATATATTAAATGTCCAAACAGAAATCTAAATTAAAGTCTGCCTGTCCATAGATCAAGTACAAGTTGAAATAACAAAAACTTCAAAAGGCAGCAGTTCATACCTCCGTTCTCCAGTTTTAATGCCTCTTCTTCTAAGCCTGCTTCCCTTAACTTTTTAACCTTCCGTGCTCGAAGTTTGGACAGCCGCGCGTCTAGAGCTGCCTTTCTCTTTTCTTTTAGCTGCTCGCGTTTAGTTCTCTGATCAAGTGTCTTTTAACAGCAAAGAAAAACATGAATTAATCTTCCCTCACAAAGCAACTAAAAGCAATCCTTATCAAGTACCAGGTTTTACAGCAAAACTAGGCATCACCTGGTATAACCCTTACAGAACAAATCCAAGACAGTGAGCACTGAGACAAGGCTGCCCTGGTGTCCCAGTTTGCTCTTTCCACTCATACCTGCTCCCTCAGCATGTCCAGCGTTGCCCGTTGTTTATGCCTAAGTTCTTGGTCACGAGAAAAGGCGAAGTAACCAACACCAAGCTGTCTGGCCTCTGAAAAGGAGAAAACCAATAAATTTAAGTTACACTCAGTTTACAACAGACAGTAACTACAGGCACCAGGCAGCCTGCTGCCAGGCATGGAATTACTCCCAACAGCATTCATTGTAAAAAGGCTAAAGGGCTAAAAAGGGCTTGTTTTAGGTGATACATAAAGTGAAGCTCTCTGAAGGAGAACACAGGAGGAGTTTTGGAGAAATACGTTTGAGAAAAATACAATTTGAAGAAAAATGGATCTAGATTTAAGTACTGGTAAATTGGAACAGTTATAACACACACCTGTTCTTTTTCATACAGACACAGGAAGTAACTTTCCCTTGCTTCCTCTACAACTAATCTCTTTGGTGATACAAAGGTAAGTGGTATAAAGTATAGCAGTGTACCATTTTCTCGAATGTCCTCATAATGTATGGGTCCCATGGGTTTTCTGAGGGCTTCTTCTTCTTCCTTTTCCCACTGCTGCCTCTGAAGTTCTCTTCTCATGTCTTCAGATAACAGAGTATTTCCATCAGGTTCTTGTCTAATTAACAACAACAACAACAAGAAGTTAGGGATTTCAGAGCAGAATTTAACAGTTTTATAGTATCAAACAGTGAAAGTATGATTGGGTCTGAGCCAGTATTGCAGTTTTCACAAAACACAGATCATCGTAAGCACCACTTAGTGATACAACGTTGATGACTCTGGTACTTGAGGACAGAATTACAAAGGTACCTCTAGAACAAGGTACCAGTAGAACATGTTATTAAAGACTAACAACATTATACCCTTTTTCAGAAGCTTTATGAAATTATTATCAAATCACGAAACGGGAGACGAAATAATCAGTTATTGGCATCTGTGGGGATTCTAACAATCACATAGAGAAACATTTCAGATTTAATGTAAGAAAATGAAAAGTATTTGAAATAATAAAAAGCCATTTACCCTAGAGGTCCATGCCAAATATTAGTACCCAATATGGAAATAATTTTAACAGAAGACCTGTCAGCTGTTTAATGGAACGGCAAAATCAAACAAATGGAGGTCAAACAAATTAATTTTAAATATGATGAACTTAGAATTGCTAAAAGACTATTGTAACTTTCCAGGTTAAACAGAACCAAGAACCACTTCCCTGGCATTTAATGGAAGGTATAACAAAATACAATTTCTATACAGGGGCCCCAGTCTTAAAAGATACAACAAATATCTGAGATTACTAAGTCAATTTATTAAAACCTTTCTCTGCAAACTATGCAAATCTAGAGAAAGCAGTAGCATCAACAACTGTGGATTGACAACGGGGTGACAAAGCACAGCCTCTCTTCCTTCTCATTAAAACAATGTATGTTAAATACTGAGAGGAACATGCAGCTCCATTAGAGAAACCACACCTTTTCCCTTGAAGTTCCTGATCCATTTTAAGTAGACCTGGCAAATCCTTCTTCATACAGCGTCTAGATCGGCCCAAGAAATCAACATAATCAACCCTGTAATGAAAGAAAAAGATTTGATGCGAAACTCCTGTTTGCAGATTTATAGAAATCTTCAGCAGAAGGCAGAAGCAGTGACACTTTCCCAAGGGTGTTCATCACCTCAGTCTCTCTGTGTGTGACAGCTGCCTCTGCTTTTCACTTAACGTGCTCCCAGGTTAAGAGGACACACTGTGAACAGGGCATACAACAGTTGTATCAGGCATTTACTCAATCTCCCTTTGAGCTCCCTGTTCGCCTTGGCAATAAAATGGTGTAAAAGATGTTCAAAAGTAACAATGTCACGTAATTTCACAACAAAATGAAACTCAGTCTAGTGCTTGCTTCCCATGGTGGAAATAATGACACAGCATCGACTTCTTGCAGATATGAAATTGTTACAGTACATTTCAAATATCAGTCTAAGGCTCTTTCAGAATAGGCTGATAGTGTGCGTTCAACTGGCATAACAAAAGCTGACTAAAATGCAAGTAAAATGATCCTCTGAAGCTATTGTGCTCCTTATTCAACTCTTTATAGTACTGAACACTTGATTTACAGTTGTCAAAAAAGCTGTTAAGAGCTGTACTTATTATCCTGCATTGAGCTGCCTCAATTATCCCACTCTAAATAACTAATATTACATCTGAAAAAGTATGTCTGCAATCTAGTTCCAAACCCCAAACTTTTAAAGATCTGTGCTTTTAGTAAGTTAAGCCTTTTACACAGTTTTTAAGGGTATCTACAGTTTAGTATATACTCAGTGGCCTTCAGTTTTTATTGCGATGAAACATCAGTAGAAATCTGCATTTTCTACAGTAAAGATTTAACTATGGCTACAGAATAATTAGCATTAATTATGCTAGCACCCAAATATCCTCATTAGGATATGGCCTCACTGAGGTGGCCAATATATTAATAATAATATGTGTCACTGACGAGAGATGTAGGCAATGACAGCAAAGCACCATGTGAAAAATAAAATGTATTAGTTTAATTTTCTGATGCTTTATGGTGCTGGGAGCATAAAGCAGTTTGAGCCCACCACTCGTTGGTAGTTTCATCTTGAATTTGAATATGATGCTGGTGAGGGGTCTCTGCCTTTCCACCTCAGCTGTCTGCTGAAATTCTGCTGGATTCATTCTCCCAGTTTATTCTGAGACATTACATTGCAAATCTTATCTTGGCCAAATAAACTGAAGAATGGTGGTGCTGTTTTGGTTACTGCTGGTTTAAACTGATTCCCAGAAGTGAAATCCCATGTTCCTTAAGCATTTCAAACAAATGGGCAAGGAAAATGTTTAGTCAGACTGGTTTTCATAATTATTCCTAATGTCTTGGATGAAAGTTAGTGGTTACTTGGAATGACACAGAAAACTGTCAGAGACTATTTTCTGTGCTGCAGTTAAAAAGTGTAAGAAATACTGGAAAACAGTGTTCCAATCATATTCCAATCAGGGTTTCTCTCCTTCAAGTGGAGGTCTTACAATGAAATAACTGGTCATTTTTTAAGTCAAGCACAATTCGGCACATCAAAGTGTAAAATTGTACCAATACTGTGATCAGAACTCCCATAAACTATGTAAGAAAACAAGAGTGGATATTAAGATGTCTCTCTTATAGTACATTTCCCTGAATGCTATTTCTCAACTCCTGAATGTAGATTCTATTGCAGCGTTACCTGCGTGGAGAGGAAGATAACATGAAGGACTGTCTTTAAAGGAGAAATGAAAGAATGTTACCACCTCTTCTCAATGTGTAGTATTAAACAAAAAAGGAAAAAAAAAAAAGTGCCACTTTACAAACTTTGGAGAATAAAATTATTTTCCCGTGGAATTGTCAAGAGGTAGCCAAGGACAGAGAAGCCCAGTCAGTAGCACCAACCATTCTTCCTCCGGGTCCTCGGGCGGTGGAATGTCTGCGTCAGGCTGAGTCTCCTCATCATCTGACTCCCTTTCTGAAGTCTTTCCAGCAGCTTCGCTCTGACCCAGCTCCTGTACTTCGTGCCTTTTGTCGATGATCTTCTGAGTGAAATCCACCAGGTACAAATCCTCAGTTTCTTCATCTAAGGCAGAAAATCGATTCTCAGAGAACAGCCATGAAAAGAACAGAGCTGAGCACAAAATCAATACCAAATAGCTACAATCAGCTTTTCAGCTGCCAGCAATGCCCTTGCCCACACTATTGGGGAATTACTTAAACCTCATTCAGTGCCAAACAAACCCGGAGCTATCAATTGGCTCCACGGTGATAACATCTATTTCTGAATCGAAGTTTTAGGGTATTGTGCACAGTACAGAAAAGGCTGCATTCTCTGCAGCAAAACATTCTCTGATCATTAACTGTTTCAGAAGCAAAGGGTTTGTCATGTAACAGCTCAAACACTTTTTTGATGCTTAACATTTGATATGTTGGCAGCAGCCAAGCAGTCACAAGGGTGCTTCTTAGAAAAGTAGAGAAAAGTGGTGGAGTCATGTGGACAAATATGGACATTAGTAAAGAAAACTGAGATTAATTGCAAGGAGATTTGTATTCTGTTTTAATAACTATTTCTTGCAAGGGACTGAATGTGTCAGAGAAGAAAGGGACAGATTAGCATTCTCTAACCCTGTTAGCTGCATGACTGGCATTGATATATGGACCAGCCAAACTCCCCTCCTGCTCCTCTTCTCTTCATAAAGGTCCAAGAATTAGAATGCAGGACAGAACATCAGCAATGCAGTCCAAAGACTTCACAATGGAGAATAAATTAATTTTGTTTTTCTAAGATACTGTATTGAAAAAAACAGAATATAGTCCACCCACCTAATGAATGAGTCAAACAAGTCCCTAGTGCTTTATTACGTCAGGCTGTCCTTCAAAAAGTAATTATTTTCTTTTATCTAGCAAATTTATTTTTTCTCCCTTTCAAAACAGAATAACCCATGTGAATCACTTTGTATAAACAACTTGAAAAAATTTCCCGTGAAGACCAGCAGTGAATTCATAGTGTAGCTGCAATCAAACACCACACAGTCAGAAATACCAACTTTTAGGGTGAACTTCTCAAAAAAACTGTGTATATATATACATACACACACATATATATGCAAAATACTCCTTTTAGACTGGTTTCGTTCACCTGGAAAGTCGCCTTTTGTCATCTTCTCATACAGCTTTGCTTTCTCTTCTAGCTTCTTCCTGAAAAAGAGAACAAAAAATTAACATTGCAATCCCACCAGTTCCAAACACAGATCAAAGCAATCAATTTAGCCTTGGATAAATGGCACTGGAAAGTAGTGGGAGTGCTTGAGATGTTTATTAGAAGCTGACTTATCCCTGGGTTTTGTTTTGAACCTTCACTGGTATTTCTGAAGATACACAGTCATCCAGTTCCAGAGTTTATACTGAAAATAATTTTAGTGAAGTTACAGAATTAATCTTAAGTGTAATCTGTCAAGTAGGCAAGAACATGGTGTAACAAGTATTCCACCTCTATCTAACTACTATGGCCTGGCAGAAAAATACTGGAACCTAAATTGTTATTTGCAGGTATGAGATAGTGGAAGACAGTTTTACAGAAAAAAAGAAGAAAGAAAAAAGAGATAATGCGGAGTTATTCTTAATCTTCAAAACTGAGAACTGTAGCTAATTTCTAGAATTGTAGAAGACAATTTCAAAGAGCAAGGAACTACTTAAAGAAGAACAGCAAATAGCTTACAAAAGGCATTTTCAACATATATAGTTTTGTACAACCGACCCATTTAGAAAATGAGGCAATCCTTGCAAGAAAGTGAGCCATTTGCTGTTAATTCCAATAAACACTTTGCTAGAGAATTCTAAAGTGTTGCTGCTCTGGCTTGTAATTCTAAAGATGACTTAAAAAACCAAAAAGTCATTAACCTGACACATTTAGACAACTGTGATAATGTGAGGGCAGCTATCCCTGCATGAACGTGACACTGTTGGGATGCAGTTTGTACATTACTGGTAAAGAGCACGGAATTGATGCTGGTCTTACTGTTTGGTCTAATGAGAACTGCTGGTCCAAAATGTGTATAACTTGCTTTTTGTGCTTTTCTAAACACTGAAAAACACATTCTACAAAGCATTCCTTTCTTACAGAGCCCAGGAGCTACCTTGATTGATCCAATATGTCCTGCTCTTCTGTCTTCTGCTCAACATCTTTCGAGGCTCGATTTGCAACTCCTGTGTTTTGTTTGGTCCAGATGCTTGGTTTCTGTAGAGAACCATTTTGTAACAACAAATAAATGAAAATACCGAAATGGTAACGATTACAAACATCTTTCAACTCCATAATGCAAACATTGCAAATAAGTCATAAGAGACTTTGTAAATAACATGTTAAACATGTTTGACTTGAGTCTATATTTGTGCTGTGGGATAATGTCCTAATTTAACACAGACTGCAGGATGGTGTCAGAGGGAAGGACAGGCTGAGAAGCTAAAAAATCCCAAAGGCACTCAAAAATCAAGACAAAATCTATTTTGGCAAAGACGTTAAGGTTAAAAAAAACAAACAAACAATCTTGCTGACTAAGAATGTAGTAACAAAGCTACAGATTGTTTCTATTCTCTATTACCCTCACCAGCTGGCCTGTTTGCAGCATAACACTGTAAAAGCTGAGTGTGTTATGGCAGCAACAGCACATTCTGCTTCTAGAAAGCTACACAATGAGTAAAGCCCAGAGTGCAGTGAAGAGCAAATTCTGTGTTCATTATTACACATCACAAACACATAGCAGAGCTTTTAGCAAGGACAGGGACCCTGGAAGAGTCTCCCATCCTCCATCCTTCAGAACCATACAAGATCTTTAAAGAAAGAAACACCTTTTCCTATAGGTACCAGAGCTGTGGATCCTTAGGGAATGAAGATTAACAGGTGATTTAGATGGGCACAAGCACAATATTAAGTTTTCTGCTGGGCACAAGAATGTCACCAGAAAATGAAATTTAAAGAATGTTCTCATCACGTACATTTTATATTTGACCAGTAACATAGCTCTAAGCATTTATTCATTTATATTTGAATATTAACGTCCTTACTTTAAGGAAAAAGAATAATGACAAAAAAACAACAATGGAAAAATATTTCTACCTTATTAGAGGTTCTGGGCTTTGCAAAGACACCGGCATCTTTCAATAGCTTTTCTTTCTTGAATTCCTCTTGCTTTCGGAAGAGTTCGGCTTTGAGATCTACCAGCTACATCACCAGCAAAACAACAAATGAATAACCAGGACGTATCACAAGCATATACATCAGTTACTGCAATAAATAACTGTATTTCTAGTAAAACAATCGGCCATTTACAGTTATATGAGCCTTTGATGGCATTTTTATGTGGAACTTCAAAGCACTGATCTGATCACAGAGGCCACTTAAGTTTGCAGCAAACACACAGAATGTAAATTATGATTAAGGATTAAAACAACCCCCAAGGATATCCTTGGTTCTTTTCTACACAAGAATAAGGGAGACATAATTCCATACAGATTTTACCAGCCTCACGAGGGCAAACAAATAGAGAAGGACCAATGAAATAACACTACTGCATATGAAAAGGGAACGTTTAACTATTCGATAATGCATAAAATCCTGTCTTGGGAAAGCATTCATAGAAGTTTTCTTTCATAAAATATACATTGTTTCCCTCTGGTTTATATACTGTTTATATAGTTTTAGATTTTCTTTTTTTTTTTTTTTTTTTTTCTAAATATATAAGTGGCATTGCCATCTATGACCAAGGTCCATCTCAGCTTTTATTAGGAAACATCATCAGCAGGGATGTTACCTTGGAATTACAAAACTAATCTGGAAGAGGATATTGTGCCACCTTCCCTGCAAATCCTACAGAAGACAAATTTCACAGATGTACATTAAATCAGGAAAGCAGAAGACTCTGCAATTAACATTTGTCCCAAGAACTAAAGCATTTGCTTTTCAGGTCCCTAGAATAATGACGTGCAATGTTGTAAAATCACCCTTTCCCCCACTGTTTAGAAGTGCCCTGATTTTATAATCACATCAGGAATGAGGGCAATTTCAGCCCGTGCACAGCCCGGTTTGGAGCGCAGTGTCTGCTCCCGGTCAGGAAGGTGAGGGGGCCAAACCCCAACATCTCACAGGGCGTCAGAACAGCCCTTTAACTCAGCATTTGCTGTAGGGACCGTGCACCTCAGTGGGCTTAAGGCGAGGGCACAGACCACCAGCACCACCAGCACCATTCCCCCTTCCCGCTGCCCCGTTTTCCCTGGGAGCGGCGGCACCCCCGGGTCGAGCCGCACGGCCTGCACCGGCCGGGCCCACCCCACGCGTGAGCGCTCCGCAGCCGAGCGCAGCCGGCCGTCCTCCCGGCCGCCCCCTGCCGCGCGTGGGGAGGCGAAGGGGCTCGTCCCGCCGCTCCCGGCCCGGCACCCACCGAGGACGCGGCCACGTCCAGCGGCTTCTTCCGCCGGTCCATGGCGGACCCGCCGGGCGGCCCCGCCGTAAAGCGAGGCGGGCGCGCGGCGCTGTCGCGGCAGGCGCTGAGGGCGGGCGGGCGCTCCCGCCGCCATGTTGGGGAGGTCAGGGCAGGGCGTGAGGGCAGAAATGCGAACTTGGCTCACGGTGCCCCCGAACGCCCAAATAAGGAATAGAGTAATCTTAGAGAAGTCCCAGAGAATTAGATAAGGGACGTAACTCGAACGAGCAGGATGTAAACTAAGCCCCGTGTTCCCAAACAAGATAAAGAATGAGCGTCGCAGTTTTTGGTGGTGGAAGGCAATGACGCTGTGCCTCCTCAGGAACTGAGGTCAAGGCGATGGGAGAGATCTGGAAGGACCACTAAAGGGCTTCCAATAGGGGAGTGGAATGAGGGTTTCTGGCAGGCACGGGCCAAACCCTTCAGGTCTGCCGTGGGAAACCTCCCCGCCCAGCTGCGGGGCTGGAGCTGCCGTGACTGGCAGGGATGCTCTGGGCTCGGCCGCTGTGGCCAAGAACTGAGCTTGGCAGGGTTTCAGGCCGACCCAGAGCTGGGGCTGGGGCTAAATGAAGAAGTACATGGTTGAAACTTGCTACCAATGTTGTCCCAAACACAGACTTGTTAGCCAGTGCCAGCACCAGTTCACACTCTGAGGAGAGGTATTGCTGTTTTCTATTCTAGTTTGCTCCAAGTGGGGACATGGGCGGTAACCCTGGAAAGGCTAACTCACCTATCGTCAACACTTCACACTATCATACATTTTAACAAAGGTATTCCAAAAAAATGCAAAGTTTGACTCAACCCCCTGTTAAAATTTTGAGGGGCTTGATATCACCAACAGAAAAAAACCCAACAAACAAACGAAACATCAAACTGCATCAAAAAGTCCCAAGCACAGCCAAGAAAAAAACAAAACAAACAAACAAAACAAAACCCCCAAACAAACCCAAACCTGCCTTATTTGATAGGTGAGTGCCACACAGATGAGACCTGAATTGCTCCCTGGAGCTGGAGGCAGCCACATTCCTCAACACCCGGCTGGGTTCAGCACCACTGCCCTTTGGGTGTCTTGTTCAGCCCTTGATCTATGTCTGTCCTGTTTTCCTTGGCTCTCTACCTGCACAGATCCAGCTGAGGGAGGTGGGATTTCAGTCACAGCTTTGCAGTACCAAAAAAATATGGTCCATAACAGCCAAACCCACCTAGAGCTCTGTAACCTCAGAGAGGAGCACAGGAGGCTGTTGGGGGAGCAAGGTTCAGTTTTACTTATTCTGGGAAGCTCTTTGCATCTTTTATCATCCCCCTGAAGAAAAAGGACTGTCTGACAGGTTTTAATTCAAAGTGGTTCTGAAGATCCAAATTAAGTGTGGTTGCAAGAGGAAGCCACCTTTCCCTTGTGTTTATTAAAGTGGAAAAATATAAGGTACTCCGATGTTGTTGCTTGGCCGTGTGATGGCTGATAGAAGCACCTGATACAGTTCTTTTGATTTTCAAATGTGCTGCCTTTGTGTTTGGCAAGCTGGGTCAGGCCCATATTTAATAGCTTATGGACACAGGATTGCAAAGCTGGCAGAGATACTCAGTCATTAGGAAATCTGCACAGGTATTCCAGGGAGTTCGAAGTGTGCGTTTGGAAAAGAGCAATTTCTGGCCCTAGTGAGGCCGTCTTGCTTTCGGTTTTTTAAAAGAGACAACAGATATAGAGAAGTGCAGGTCATATCAGAGCCATGAAGTTTAATATTTTAATCTGCAGTGGAAGAAGAGAAATAAGCATTACTGAAAAATAGGACAAAGGAACGAAAACATCTGTGCTGTTCTAATTAAATCACACTTCAACAAATCATGCATTGTTTCCTGTTCAAACCTCACCTAACAACAACACTGAGAAGAAAAGACAGCCCTAACCCAGCCTAGGGTTGGTCCTGATTAATTCCCATCTCTTATTTGGAGGCAGTGTCTGTGAGGGCACATTTCCCCCCTGAAGTGCATTAATCCCCCACATTGCTTATGTTCTGCATTACAGCAACAGGACACTCTCATCCGTCAGGGTTTCCAGTGTGCCAGGTGTTGAGCACTTTCAGGAGCTCAGGAGTATTTTTATCTTGAGATTCTCATAATGTGAGGTTCTTGAAGAGCTGGCAGCCAGACTCGGTCCTGGATACCTCCTTAAACCAGCAGGTGCAAAAAACACATCGGGAAATCTTGGTCTATTGAAAACTTGGCCTAGAGAACATAAAGGCCACTGGCTAAGAGGGATGTCTGAGGGTTTGGGATAAAAACCCTACGTGACCAGCTTTTGAAGTGTAACACTAGACACTGTGTAGGTACTGCAGTGCTTCTTGATCTTTTCTAACTTCAGTGTGAAATGATACAAGTGCTGAGTCTATTCAGGATACTACTCTGGAAGCCACTTTTTTACCTGTCTTTTGTCTCTCCCCTCCAGATGCCTCAAACAAACCTTTGCTTGCAGGATTCCCTGGCACAGCCTAAGCCCTGCTGAGGCCGTTTGCAGCTCCTTGCTGCATTCTGTCCTCACTGCTGCATGTTCCCCTGTGACCTGCCCATAGCTCTTGTAGCTTGTGACACCATCCTGATTTCAGCTCCTTGTATCACTTTTCTTCTTTACAAGTAAACTGGTCCTGTCTTGTAACGTTAGAAGAATGTTCTCTGTTTCCATGTCTACAAACCTGTTTGTTTTTTTACTTGCTCTCTCCTTCCTGAACTCTGTTTTGTATCTACCCGTCTGAGCCATGTTGGAACAGCACTCTTTCTGGTTTGGGTGTTGTAAAAAATGTCTCTGTATCATCTCAGCAGCCCTCTATGTATCAGGTCTTACTTGGATAGTCTTGGAATGAGGCCCTTGCAGGTATCAGCATCACTCTTAAAATGTTCCTTTCTGGTTGAGAGTGAGACTCACGATCAGGGTTGTAGGGAAAAGCCGTGCTTCTGTAGGGAAAAGCAGTTACATGACAGTATATAGAAAAAGAAATTAATATTAGAAATATTAATTCCAGCAAGCTGGTTCATGTTGCTGCGAGCGAGGATCTGCACTTGCAAGACAGAGTAGGTTATTTCATGGGCAGCAGAGGTCTGGCTGGGCATGCCTGGATTGGGAATGAGTCAGAGTCACTGATGCCGTACATAACTGATGGAGTGGTGCAAGGAGATAACCTTTAGCTGGCGTTCTCTCCCAGTTAACGTCAGCAGGCAGGGATACAAGCAGACCCAGGCAGGAGGAGCTCGGCTCCTGCTGGGGCCGTGGGGCCGCTCTACCGGGCTCCCCTGGGGGTGGGATTCGGCACCGAGCGCACACCCACACAGATGGCCTTGGGAGCACTGTGTGTCGGTTCAGTGGTCTTGTGTTTACAGCCAAAGAACTGACAAGCTTTCACACACACTGTTCCCTCAGAAAGGCTCGGTGTCGACTCTAACCCGTGGCAGGCTATTCTGTAAATTTTTTTAATCCATCCCACAGGCATTCATGAAATGCCAGCGAGGGAGGAATAAGAATATTTGCAGGTTGCAAAGTGAAATCAGCTTAACACAAAGAAATGAGGTGAGGAAGGGGAGAAATCTGTCTCTGTGTGTACAGTAGAGCTTCAGTGTGGCTGTGCTGTGCTTATTTCTTATTGGAAATATGTGAAAGCTGTATAAGCTACCATATCTGATCTCAGACTGCTGATAGCCCTGAATTCCTGGGGAATAATTGATTCAGCAATTCCAATTAGTATGCTGCTCATTTTAGCATGAGGCCTAATTGTGTTTATTTCCACAAATCTGCATCAACACAAAAAGCTTGTTTATTATTTTTGAGGAAGATGGGGGATCACAGTGGATTGTTCTAAGGGGATTTGGTATGAAACAGTGGTGTTTCAGTGTCTTGTAAAATTGGTGAGAGATGCTGCACAAACTTGAAATGAATCCGTTGCAAAGCTTTGGTGTGGATTTCTCCTACACACCCCCTACCAAAACTAGATTACAGGAGCCCCAGACCAAATTATATTGATGTTTGGACGATTTGCTTTTCTGAGACTGATTCTCTTATCACAGACACTAAGGTTTCCTCCTACCCTAAGGCTTTGATGTCTGTCTTACTTTCTACATCTTGGCTTTAAAATGAGATAAAACTGGGCAAATAACAGCTGGACATTTTGTGAGATAAGCCTCAGTGCCAGGGCACTGTGTCCTCACACACTTTCAGAGCCACTCAACACAAGACAACTCATCCATGTTTCTCTAAGGGATGGAGAAATTCCTTCTGGTTTTCTTTTTAATTTTTAACTTGTTTCAGAAGTTATCATATGAAAGGATATGTGCTATGTCAAAAAAATCTTTTTAAAACAGACCAAGATTTTTTTTTTTTTTTTTGTGTGTCTTGGTGTGTATGAGGCCAAAAATGACTGTGGCAGAAACAAAACTGTTTGCTAACTAATTGTTGTAACATCAGATCCAGAAGTGTGTATTTCCTTCACAGAAATGATTACATCTCTTCCCAAAATAAAGTCCCAGCATACCTTTCTTTACTTCTCTATACTTTCCTAAAGGCACCCGAAACATATCCTAGGCTTTTGTAATTTTGCATTGTACTTTCAGAAACATGGAATTTCTTCAGCAAACAAACAAGCAAAAAAACCCTGAAAGCCCTTTGGTAGAAAGTCTAGATGGACACTTGACTTTTTTTTTTTTTGCAGGAAGACTAAAAGTTAAAATAATTTGGATAGGTAACTGGCAGGTGTGCAGAATAGGAGAAAAACAGTAATTCTCTGACAAATGTTGGAGTTCCTTTGCATGATCCTAGGCAGAAAGTCAAAACTGCCATGCATGTGGCTCTGTTTTTTTGCCTCTTGGGTCACAAGCTGCAATGCCAGACTGCTTTTGTGCTAGTTTATTTTTGATTGCAAACTCACCTCACCAATAGGCACAGAAGACAAATCTGATGTGACTTAATGCTAAATTGAACTGAGATCTAATGTAGCCTTGTCCTTTTCTATGGGAATCTGTATTTTATGTGCAGTTTTAAAATGCAGT